TCGTCCTCGGGATACGTGTCACCTATATGCGAATTAACTACAAAAACGCTAACTTTAAAGCACAAAACCGTCCGTTCAAAATAACTTCTCATACATTGCTCAAAATGGACAAATGAATATACCAACGTGATCTACACAACCTCACGATCACAACCATATTTTTAAAATAATTTTTGGACACGTCACGCGCCCCCACGCGCCAGCATAGGCACGGGTCCACGCGCCCCCACGCGCGGCCACGTGACCTGCACACTGACGGCGTCAGGTGACGCCGTCAGGAATATTCCCTGGAATATTCCGTTAACCTTGACTGACGCCGTTACTGTCTGTTAGGAATATTCCGTTAGCCTTAACGGAATATTCCCCTGTCTTCTCCGGCGAGCCACCGCCGCCGGCGCCGTCGCCGGAAAACTGCAAAATTTTCCAACTTTGTTTTCTCACTCATTTTTCAACCATTTTTCACGTTCTTTATACCAAAATGAAGCTTAAGACTAGTAGATTCACGTTAGACTAGTTTTAGGGCCTAAAAATCAAAGAATCTCACCTGCAACAACGATCCAAGTTCGGCCAACTTTGAACCAAGCTTTCCCGACGTCCAAATTCACCCAACGAAGCACTCCCAAGCTCCTGGGAACCTCACTAACACATCTACAAGCTTAAAATGTCCAAAAACATACTAGATTAGGTTTGCATGAATAGTGACCCAAAACGGACCTTGTGAAATCGACGTGAAAACATCGAGATTCTTACCTGAAAATGGCACCACTAGACTCCTCTCGGCCCCACGAGTTCAATGGTAGCCTTGGATCCCTTGATCTGTGACGTTTTAGGGTGTGTGTGTGTGTGTGTCCGTACGTATATGGTGAAGAATAAGGGGAAAGAGAGAGACACGGGAGGGAGAGAGTGACAGAGACAGAGACAGAGGGTGAGGGTGAGTGAGACAGTGTGTGTGTGTGTGTGTGTGTGGCCCAAAGTTTGCCAACACCACACAAACAACCAAACAACATAACAAAATAACTAGGGGTAAAATGGTAATTTCACGCGTACGGTTCCGATAACTCCGGGACGGGATGTCACAACCTACCCACCTTAATAAAATTTCGTCCCGAAATTCAAAACGACCAAATAATGCCCCTAGTAGCCAAAGAACAATCTAGGATACAAATCCCTTATCCGATCTTCTGTCTCCCATGTCGCTTCCTCAACGGAATGGTTCCTCCACAAAACCTTCACTAATTTCACCGTTTTGTTCCGCAGAACCTTCTCTTTCCAATCGATGATCGTCACCGGTTACTCGTCATACGTCAAGTCTGGGTTGATTTCTAACGGTTGAGGAGGTATCACATGGGATGGATCAGCAACATAATGTCGGAGCATAGACACGTGGAAAACGTTATGCACTCTGGCTAGCTCCGGAGGTAACTCCAACCTGTAAGCTACCTCACCAACTCGCTCCACGACCATGTATGGTCCGATGTACCGTGGACTTAATTTGCCTTTCTTCCCAAATCTCACTACACCTCTCCACGGCGAAAGCTTCAAAAATACCCAATCTCCGACCTCGTACACCCTGTCTGTAGCATGCCGATCCGCTAAACTCTTTTGTCTGTCCTGTGCCGCTTTCAGATTAGTCTTGATTACCTGAACGTTCTGAGTAGTCTCCTCAACAATCTCCGGACCTACTAAGACCCTTTCTCCGACTTCTGACCAACACAACGGTGTGCGACAAGCTCTACCATACAATGCTTCAAATGGTGCCATGCCAATACTTGAATGAAAACTATTATTATAAGCAAATTCCATCAAATCCAACCGCTGGTGCCAAGCATCACCAAATTGCAACACCGAAGTTTGCAACATATCCTCCAAAGTCTGTATAGTCCTTTCAGACTGTCCGTCTGTTTGCGGATGATATGCCGTACTGTAGAGTAATCTCGTACCCAAAGCTTCCTGGAAAGCCACCCAAAACTTAGATGTGAACCGTGGATCACGATCCAAGACAATACTCACCGGAACTCCATGGTACTTCACTACTTTCGAGATGAACAACTCCGCCAATCGACTCAAAGAATACTTCTCTCTCACTGGAATGAAATGTGCGGACTTAGTGAGTCGATCAACGATCACCCAAATGCCGTCAAAACCGTTATGTGTACGCGGGAGCTTGTACACAAAGTCCATGGTGATATTTTCCCATTTCCACTCGGGAACGGGAAGCGGCTGCAACAATCCAAACGGCTTTTTCCTTTCTGCCTTAACCTGCTGACAAATGGCACACTTACTCACATACTCGGCTATCTCCCTCTTCATACCCGGCCAATAATAAAACGGTCGAATGGTATGATACATTTTAGTAGCTCCTGGATGCATGGCGTAAGCCGAGATATGTGCTTCATCCAGAATTTCCTTCTTTAAATCCACAACATTCGGCACGAACATTCTTCCTTCTTGCATCAACATGCCATCCGATTCTCGTACTCTGAGGTCTCTCCTCCTACCTTGTTCTCGAGCTTGGATTAATTCTTGAGTCTGCTCATCAGTTGCTTGGGTTGCAAGCACCCGATCAACTAAGATGGGCCTAACTTGAAAATTAGCAAGTAAAGCCACATCTCGATCTTCTGCTTCTAACCTCACTCCCGTAGCACGCAAGTCCGCCAAAAGAGGAATACGGCTTGCATACAATGCATTAATGCGGCCCTGAGACTTCCGACTAAGTGCATCAGCAACTACATTCGCACGACCAGGGTGATAATCAATCGTGCAGTCGTAATCGCTGAACAGCTCCATCCACCTCCGCTGACGAAGATTAAGTTCTTTCTGGGTAAAAAGATACTGGAGACTCTTATGATCAGTAAAGATCCTGCACTTTTCACCATAAAGATAGTGTCTCCACAACTTCAACGCAAAAACAATAGCGGCCAACTCCAAATCATGAGTAGGGTAATTCAACTCATGGGGTTTTAACTGACGTGAAGCATAAGCAATCACCCTACCATGCTGCATCAACACACATCCCAGACCATTCAATGAAGCATCGCTATAAACCTCGAAATCACCACTATCGTCCGGGAGTGCCAGAACAGGTGCTTGAGTGAGACAACGCTTCAACTGTTGGAAACTCTGTTCACACCTATCATCTCACTCGAATTTAACATCTTTCCTTGTTAGTCTCGTCAATGGTAAGGCAATCACCGAGAAATCTTTAACAAATCTCCGATAATACCCCGCCAAGCCAAGGAAACTTCTCACCTCGGTGACGGTTCGCGGTTGCTCCCAATTCTCCACCGCCGCAACCTTCTGAGGGTCAACTAGAATACCCTGAGCAGAAATGACATGCCCTAGAAACGCGACTTGATTTAGCCAAAACTGGCACTTGCTAAACTTAGCATATAATTGATGTTCCCTCAACCTTTTCAACACCAAAGTAAGATGTCGAACATGCTCCGCCTTCGACTTAGAATACACCAGAATATCATCGATAAAAACAATCACAAACCGATCCAAGTAAGGCTGGAAAACCCGGTTCATTAAATCCATAAAAGCTGCTGGTGCATTCGTCAACCCAAACGGCATAACCAGAAACTCGTAATGACCATAACGAGTCCTGAACGCCGTCTTAGGAACGTCCTCCCTATTAATCTTCAGCTGATAGTACCCGGACCTCAAGTCAATCTTAGAGAACACACAAGCACCTCTAAGCTGATCGAATAAATCATCGATACGAGGCAACGGATAACGGTTTTTAATCGTCACCCGGTTCAATTGCCTGTAATCGATACACAGCCTTAAAGTTCCGTCTTTCTTCCTCACAAACAATACTGGAGCGCCCCAAGGTGAAGTACTAGGCTGAATAAAACCCTTATCCACTAATTCCTGCAGCTGCACCTTTAATTCCCTTAATTCCGCAGGGGCCATACGATAAGGAGTCAAAGAAATAGGGTTAGTACCTGGAAGCAACTCGATAGTGAACTCCAAATCTCGATCTGGTGGTAACCCAGGCAAATCCTCGGGGAAAACATCTGGAAAGTGTCGGACGACCCTCACGTCCTCAACACCACAAGGAGGAGCCTCATCCAACACCACATGGGCTAAATACCCCTGACAACCCTTAGTCAACAACTTTTTCGCTCGTAGCGCCGAAATAACACCATGTCTCACCCCACTCTGCTCACCAACAAAAGTAACCACAGGTAGTCCAGGACGACGAAATGTAACCATCTTCCCGTAACAATCAATATTGGCACGATTGGGGTGCAACCAATCCGCGCCCAAAATCACATCAAAATCAACAATATCTAACGGGATAAGATCAGCGGGCATAACCACGCCCTCAACTATCACTGGACAACCTGGGTACACACGATCCACAATACATCTCTCCCCTCTAGGCATAGTGAACTCTAAATCATACCCTAGAGGTGTGGGGCGAGGTTGCGTCACTTGAGCAAATGTATGAGAAATCACAGAATGTGTAGCTCCACAATCAATTAAAACTCTAGCAAAATAACCAAGAATATTTAACGTACCCATAATCAAATCCGGGTTGTTCTGAGCATCTTGTAGAGAAATGTTGTGTATACGCCCCTGGCCCTGCTGCCGTCCGCCACGACCTCTGTTCGCCTGAGCACCACGACCCTGCGTACTACGCCCCTGACTGGGCTGACTGGTCTGTCTCGAAGACCCTGCACTGCTAGTAGCAATCTCTCCAGGCTGAATCTGTCCTCCCTGATACCATTGAGAACCGCCGGCTGAAGCTGGAGGATACGGCATATAACCGCCCGAATACTGAGGGTAACCACCCTGGGAGTAGGGGTCCTGAGGATACTGATACTGTCCCGAGGCATAGGGAACAGCATCACCCTGGTAATGGTAAGCTCCACCTCGACCTGCCTGTCCGTAACCACTAGGACCTTGAATCTGCTGTATAGGGGCAGGTGGTGGCAGGAAAGTCTGCTGCGGTCTCTATTGCTGACCCTGGGGACATTGTGCGGCTCGATGCCCTATCTGCCCGCAAGTGAAACAACCACTACTGCCCCGCCTACACTCGCCAGTGTGCCGATTATTACACCTCCGGCAAAGTGGGGCCCTACCTTGACCACCGTCCCCCTGTCTCTGGCCCCGAAAACCACCAGTAAATCTACCTCCCCGTCCCTGACCTGTGGCACTGTAACCACCACTAGAAGAGCTAGAGCTGTTACCACCCCTCTTGAAGTTTTGAGTCTGACGAGGCCCGAGCGATGCCTGACCTTTACCTTTGTCGTCCTTCTTCTGATTACCACCCTTTTCATCTTCATCACTCTCACTCGGCATATTCTCAGAGTCCTCGACTCTCAACAAAACCTCGTAGAACTCCTGGTATGTATCACAATGAGTGGAGGTCGACATCGAACGCCACTTCTTCTTAGTGCCGATGCAAAAACGGCGAAGCATCTCCGCTGGGTTACTAGCAATCTCAGGGTGGTAACGAGACAAGTCAGTAAACTTCCTATAATACTCATTCGCAGACATCTTCCGCTGTTTCAATTCAGTGAATTCCTGTTTCTTGCGATCAATATACTCTGGGGGCACAAATCTCCTCTTAAATAGCCTAATGAAAACATTCCAGTCCGTCTTCTCGGCTGGAGTCAAACTACGAAGCTCCTGCTCCCACCAGGATGCAGACTCCGTACCCAGAAACCATGAAGTAGTCTCGACCCATCTCTCCACAGGGAGATTCCCCTGGTTGTTCAACACTCGGAAAGTCTTCTCAATATGCTCCAACCAACGCTCCGCGGCCTCGTGCCCCTCGTGACCGTGGAATTTATCCAATTTCAGGTTGTACATAGTTTCCAGAGGAGTCCTCTGGGGAGGGCGGATAGCTGCCTGGATAGCAGTAGCAATAGCTTCCCCCAGCTGAGTGATATCGGGGAAACTAGACTCATCTGAACGGCGTGGTTCCCGACGAGGCGGCATAATTCTGACAGAAGGCACCAAAACCATTAGAATACTCACAAAAGACACAGGACTGCCAAACCTAAGCTCTGATACCAAACTGACACACCCCGACCGAGATCAGGGCATGCTGGCCGCCACGTGGAAGTGACGTAGCCATGTGCACAGTGCGGAAGCTAAACAGTAATATAAAAGTGCGAATAATTTAAAAACTAGCAAATATAGAGTGATAGAATATGAGCTAGCTTAAATACGACACTGAATTCAGAGCCTAAGGCCTATAGCAGTCCGGAGGAAACAATACAACAAAAGTACACCCGAAGGTGACCCTACATAGGTGAAGGTCTGTCAGAATGCCGGGACGTCCCTGGGGAAACCACCGAACCAGCTAAGCTACTAGAACCTGGAGGGGCGCAAAAACAAAAGCGTGAGTGGGCAAAACAAATCTCTTAGAAAACCATTTCATAAAACATGATATAATCCCTCGCCGTAAAACCTGTATACTTCCCAGAATACAAACATATATACGTAGGTATAAATATGCCAAGTATAATCAAGGGTATGCCAACATGCTCAAGACCTCATAATAACATGCAAGTGCTCAAACATGTAAATCACATTATTAGCATAATTAAACTGGCAGCCGGAGTCCCCTAAGTGACCTGTACGGCTGAATCTAGAGCTCAAATCACAACTAAATCCATAAACCTGCCCACGAGTCGGAACCACCTATAGTGGTCTGTACGACAAGCCTGGGTGTAATACATATAAACGCTCTAGTGCTACGATCACGTGAAGGCTGTGCGAATAATCGCGGGTCACCTACGAGTCGAAACCACCTATAGTGGTCTGTACGACAGGACTGTGCACCTAATTTGGATTCAAGCTGAGGCTGTGGTGCTGGAGGTGAACAACACGTGAAGGACTGTGCCCTACACTGGGCGGGAGCACTAACACCGGGGGTGCAGGTTATGAGCCCTCTAAGCACTTCGAGTCACTATTTAATGCGAATGTAAAGCAACGCTTACCTGGCACTTACCTAGGCCGCCACAGCACCAACATATATGTAAAAGATGTAAGAATAAATATATAAACCAACTCATATGCCACTAAATATGTAATAATCATCAATCATATAAAATTACTGGCGTAAAACGAAGCATTTATACTAATTTCTAGGAAATAACATGTATATAGGTATATACGGAAAACAAAAGCCCACTCACTGGTAAGTAGAAGGGTCGTAGCCCCCCTGCCTCGAATGTGCACGCTCGCCCTCGGGATACATGTCACCTATATGCGAATTAACTACAAAAACGTTAACTTTAAAGCACAAAACCGTCCGTTCAAAATAACTTCTCATACATTGCTCAAAATGGACAAATGAATATACCAACGTGATCTACACAACCTCACGATCACAACCATATTTTTAAAATAATTTTTGGACACGTCACGCGCCCCCACGCGCCAGCATAGGCACGGGTCCACGCGCCCCCACGCGCGGCCACGTGACCTGCACACTGACGGCGTCAGGTGACGCCGTCAGGAATATTCCCTGGAATATTCCGTTAACCTTGACTGACGCCGTTACTGTCTGTTAGGAATATTCCGTTAGCCTTAACGGAATATTCCCCTGTCTTCTCCGGCGAGCCGCCGTCGCCGGAAAACTGCAAAATTTTCCAACTTTGTTTTCTCACTCATTTTTCAACCATTTTTCACGTTCTTTATACCAAAATGAAGCTTAAGACTAGTAGATTCACGTTAGACTAGTTTTAGGGCCTAAAAATCAAAGAATCTCACCTGCAACAACGATCCAAGTTCGGCCAACTTTGAACCAAGCTTTCCCGACGTCCAAATTCACCCAACGAAGCACTCCCAAGCTCCTGGGAACCTCACTAACACATCTACAAGCTTAAAATGTCCAAAAACATACTAGATTAGGTTTGCATGAATAGTGACCCAAAACGGACCTTGTGAAATCGACGTGAAAACATCGAGATTCTTACCTGAAAATGGCACCACTAGACTCCTCTCGGCCCCACGAGTTCAATGGTAGCCTTGGATCCCTTGATCTGTGACGTTTTAGGGTGTGTGTGTGTGTGTCCGTACGTATATGGTGAAGAATAAGGGGAAAGAGAGAGACACGGGAGGGAGAGAGTGACAGAGACAGAGACAGAGGGTGAGGGTGAGTGAGACAGTGTGTGTGTGTGTGTGTGTGTGTGGCCCAAAGTTTGCCAACACCACACAAACAACCAAACAACATAACAAAATAACTAGGGGTAAAATGGTAATTTCACGCGTACGGTTCCGATAACTCCGGGACGGGATGTCACAGTTTATCTACCTACTGATTTGATAGATTTCATATTATCTGTTTTATCATAATTTTTTTGATATCTTGCTTATAGGTATATGTACGTTGGTGTATTTATATTTTTTAGTTAGGTTGTATGTTTCGACAAATGGATCAATGGTAAAAATATTATACTTTATTAAAAGTAAAGATTGCGTTTGTCTAGATATTTAATTAGTAGATCGGAGATGTTTAAACATTCAAAATTTGAAAACAAAGGGCAAAATAGGTTTAAAAAAAAGAGTAAAGTGAACCTAAATCAGAAATTTAAAAAAATTGGACTAATTTCAATAGTAAGTCAAATTTTTGGACCTATATCTTGATACCTTTTTTTTTACACTAGAGGGTCTCAAACTCGAGACCCAGCCGACTCCTAATTATTGTTGTGCGCACCCTCACTACTAGGATAACCCTTATAGCCTTTCCATGACATATTTGATACTTCGAACTATAATTTGGTTTCATAGGTCACTTAGTACTATGGCCTAGTGATATTCCTATTCACTTATAAGTAAGAGATATTACTCGCCAAAGGCAAATTTGAACCACATTATTGTCAGCCCATTGTGAGGCTAAGCCTACCCCTCTCCCTTGATGTAGATAATATCATTTGTTCAAAAAAAAAGTTTCATAAAACATAATAAAGTATCATAGTAATAGTTGGTAAGTTATATATGACAAAACATGTGTTATTAAAGTGATATTATTGAAAAGTAATTTTTGATTTAATATTCAATAGACTATAGGAGAAATTCGATTCACGATAACATAATTAATTTGTAGAAGAAAAAAAGTTGTTTTTTTTTCCTAAGTGAGATGCATGTCATCACTTTCTAGTATTCACTTTAAGTTGTCAAGAGACTAAGAAATTTTCATAGAAAACATCAATCGCAGCCAGATTGACAACAAAAATAATAGAATGGTTTTGAAATAAAAGCATAAGAGGACAAGATATAAATCAGCATTCAACTTTCCACCCTAGTCCTCAAATATTGTAGGATTATAACAAGGTCAGAATATAGATGGGGTGACCAATCATGACTTAGGGAATGTTTCATCAAAGAAGGTCAAGATCCATGTCAACCCCACCAGTTGCGGGAAGACTCATTTGGGCGACAAGGCATCAGCCACTAGTCATATTATTAATTCATTATCATCGTCTTATTGAATGTATACTGAATATATTCAACTAAAAATTTCAACCCACAAAATTCAAACAAAGTCGACAAAAAAGAGAGATGATCGTATAAGGCATAGAAGTAAACCCTAACAATAATGTAAGGGAAAACCTTGCCCTAGCATGGCTTACGTAACATTGCAAAAATGCAAAAATAATAATACTAATTAAAAAAAGAAAAACGAAGAGTAAAAAAAAACAGATGCAGGAAATGAATGGGGAGATTAGGGAAGGTTGGTGAACATGACAAGAACTTGGACAAGTTTAAGAAAAGGATACTTGCACATTTGCTGAATACCACATGTTTAAAACTTAATCAACCAACTTATGATCGTGATAACAAACCACTTAATAATTTTATTTTCCACTAATTAAGCCATTTGTGTATCTTACTTGACTAAGAAACTATATATGGCGTAAGGTCCATAGCTGCCTCTCATTTTTTTTAATGATCTGATTGAATTATTTTTAGTTGCTATATTTAAACAAATATCTTGTATATTTTTATACATATCCATGGAGCCCTTGTCCTTTGGAGAGCAAACTTTTAGAAAGTCGGCCTACAGTCTTTCGGCTAATATTATACAGGTTGTAGAGTGTAGATGAACAAAGTGGAAGTCTTAGTTGGTCTCTCTAGTGGCTGAGTAAGCAGAAAACAAAATATAAAAACGAACAACATAATTACACACACATACATATATCACTATTTTAGTCCCTTGCCTATTGAGTCCCCCAATTAATCATTTCTAAAACTTATTGGGTGTGTGACGGTAAAAGATGTGGCATGTTTGATATTTTGTATTTGCTCGTATAATATGCGTGTACAATCATTAATACAATATTAGGGTTTAGGGTTACAATCATTAGTAAAGTATTAGTTTTGAGTTCATGCTGAATGAAATAACAAGGATCCTCCTACCATTGCACATCTGTCTCGATCGAGAGGTAATTTAATTATGTGATGACTCCATTATCTTGGCGACAAATAGAGGAGAAGCCACTACCGTTGACATTCTGTAAAAAGTATCTGTCATCCTCAATAGGAAAGAAAAAGACTGATACGGCATCATTGAGGCATTTGGCCGTGGATAGTTGGTCATGGTTGAACAAGAGGGAGGGGATGAAGGCAAGGGAAATGGAAAGATTTCTGAATTTAATTTTCTTTGTAATTTTTTTCTTGATGAATAATGTAATTAAAATTTACAAAAAAATAGAAATGTAGAAGGAGGGTATTTATCGAGAGAATGAGGTAATGTTGAGAGAATGAATCTCACATTAAGAAAGTAAATTCTATGTATGTCTAATATTTTGTATAATTTTGGACATGCAACTCTCTTGTATTGACAATTAGTTTTTAAG